CCCGGCCCTCCCCCGGCTCGGGCGAGGAAATGACCTAAGAGGAAACCTGGGCCGCGCCGGGAGGGAGCGGGGCCGGGGCGGCGGAGCCCCCGGGACGCTCCGGCGATGCCCCGGCGACCAGAGGATCCAGCGGGGGCGGCCGGCAGGTCGGTGGCGTCCGGCTTCCCGCCCCCCCCCCCCCCCCCTGCCCTGCCCGGGGACACCGGGGAGGGCCGGGGGCTGCTTTCCCCGGGATCCGCCGCTGCCTCCGTGCCGGGGGGCTTTTCGGCTTGTGCCGCCCGCGGGGCTGGGGCGAGGCGGCGGCGGGGGGGGGGGTTCCCGGGGGGCTCCGGTGGCCCAGGTGCCCCGGGCAGGAGGCGTCTGGGCGCTGGGGGGGGTCCCTGCGGCTCGGCGGGGATGGGACAGGGGTCCCGGGCGGCTGGTAGTGCCCCTGGGACGGGCACGGGGGGATGCTCAGGGGCGGCAGAGGAGACTCGCCGCTCTTCTCCCTGCCCTTGCGATGGAGGGGGCACGTCTGGCCAGTCCCGCCATGGGTGACCCCCACAGCGTAGGACCCCGGCACACGGGCCGGCTGGTCACCGGCAGATCAAGGACGCTAACCCCAACCGTGTCAGTTCCCCGGGACTGGCTCGTCTAGTGGGGACCACTTGCAGAGGAGGAATGGGTACCCACGGGTGACGCTGTGCCCACTGTCACCCACCGCCACCAGCCCTTCAGGCAATGTGGTCCTGGCAGCAGGATCTCTAGTGCAGGTGGGGCCTGGCTGGTTTTATGCTCACACGCTGTGGTTTGCTCTGGGCAGGGTTATTTGGCAGAGCAGTTCAAAGCAGCTGTGCCCGTCCCCGAGGAGCCGTGGGGAAGGATGCTCCGGGAGAGGCGCTGGGCGGTGGTGGCAGAGACGCTGCCAGACAGGCTTGGGCGCTGCCTGCTTCGCTGCGAGCAGCGCTGAGCTCTCACCAGGTTCCCTCCGCGCAGCAACGATGCTGGTGGGACGTGGGGCTGTCGGCGAGCTCGGAGGGCTCTGCTGGCAGTGCAGAACGGCATGAGTGTGGATACAGAGGGAGAGAGACGGTGCGGAAGGAGGAGAGGTCGGATGGGAAGGTGTTTGCCAACCATACGCGGCACGGAGGGCACCCAGCTGCTTTTGTGAATCCATCTGGGAAAGAAACCTCTGTGCAGGTCCCAGGGCAGGTAACCCTGC